CCGTCATACCGTCACAGGGATGTACCTGTTCAAATTTTGTTTGTTACTTGATGTGCTAAATTACGAGTAACTTTTACGGGGAACAAGTTTGGATTATTATATGTTATGTTGATTTTACTTGTAGGCTCTGGAATTGAATAAGATAATCTATATTAATTTTCACATGGTTCCAATTGGACTGAACATTTCGTCAGTTTTACTCTTAATTACTCCCTTCCTCCTATAATATAAGGGGTTTTGACTGTATTATGAATGCATAGAGCCTGTCCAAATCCATAGTAGTAGAATATATCACATTTCTTTAAAATCTCTTATATTTTGGGACCGGGGAGTCAGTAAGTATTACTTTAGGAATTATGAGAATAAGCAGATGGTAATGGAGTGTTAAGTTTGGGTTAGCACGAGGGTTCGCTCGCTGCCCTTTTTCCTGGTGAAGAGCAGAGTAGAGGTGTTCTCTCGTGCATCATGGTTGATGTCCTTGGCTGCACCATGAAATGAATCCATGATAGTCTGATGGGCCATAGTACTATCGAGCTGGTGATAACAATGGCATCATGATCTCATATGTATGTGGTGTCCCAGGCCCAGCTAACTGGGCCCACCTTCTGCCGGAACAAGTCATGAGCCCTGAACCACTGCTACCTCTAGCTTCAGTTCACATAGGATCCACTGCAACCATGTTTTCCCAAAGGCAAAAAAACAAAACAAAAAACAGCGCTAGCACTATCTTCATGCTAGTACTAAAATCAAAGTTAATTAGGCGCACTAGGCCTACGTGATAACGGTATCGGAGTAGTACTAGTGTCCTAGCTTAGCTAGTAGTACTCCATCAATCAAAACAAGGTGTGTACTACACTGTGCTGTGTAGGAATACTCCATTTGGGTTTGGGTAGAGTAGAGGCGGGACCAAGACGGTGTGTTCTTCCCTTTTCTCACATTTTTTAACTATTACTTTCTCCGTCCCACAGAGAGTCAATTCCTAGCATTCCTAGATAAAATTAGTAGGAATCAAGAATAACTAAAATGTTCTTAATTATTAAAAAAAAGTAGTAAGAGTGATAGGTTGGTAAAGGGTATTGAAGGAATAAAATTTCTCGTTTTACGTGTTGAGGGTAGATAGGAGTGTAGAAATTTGTTTTTTTGGACAAAATTCAAACTCTAGAAGTTGAGTTTTTCTGGGACGTATGGAGTAAATAACAGCACGTCTTTTTACAATTTTTTTCATAAGAAAGTTGTTTTAAAAAATTATATCAATTCATATTTTAAGTTTTTAAATCAATATTTAATTAATCACGTATTAATAGGTAACATTGTTTTCAGGCGGCTCCCGAACTCAGCCGAAAGGATCAGCAGATGAAGCATGTGGGGCATGAGCTCCCGTACTTAAACCCAACAAACAAACCGAGGATAGGAGGAGATGCAAATCAAAATCTCAAAGCCAGCGAGGCGCAGTGCTGTCAGTGTGAGTGACACTAGCTCTTGGTGGTGGAGACAGCGCACGAGAGGAGGGGAGTCTGCCTGTGAGACAGCGAGTTGACTTGGGGTGTGGGGGTGTCAGGGCGCGGGTCCCGGCCTGGTGGTGTCACGTCGTCCTGACATGTGGGGCCCAGCAAAAGGAGGATCGCCGGCAAGCCCACGTGTCGTGCCTGCGAACATGCGACTTTCTTTTTGTTTATCTCAGCCTGGGCGCGGGTGTAGACGTAGTAGGGGCAGAGTTTCCCTTACCGCCGGTAACCGCGCGGTTACCGTGGTTACTGGATTTATTGCGAGGTACGGTAATATAAATACCGCGATAACTTCTTTAAATTCAAATAAATTTAAAAAATAATTTAAGTTTTTGATAAATTTTGTACGGTTTTTCATAGTTACTGCGCGATAACCCCGGTCCCAATGGTTTAGGAAACCCTGAGTAGGGGCCGTGCGTCGTGAGCAAATTTACAGTTACTACTACTGTATACCGGAGATAGGGAGAGAGGGAGGCACACAGACCAAAGATAAGTAATTCTACTTATCATCTATTTAAACATGCTACTAGCCATTCCTCGTAAACAAGCGATTCATTAATACTTACATTTCTCGATGCCCATATAGCCAATCTTGTGTGGAAGAATGGAGAGTCACACATTAAATCCGAGAAAATCATCAAGAAGATAGGTTGTTAGATTGAAATATGCCTATCAAAAATAAATTTCTTAAATTTAGAAATATGACTGATAGATGGAGGGAGTATCGTAGAGTAATAAATGGCAATATAACACGACAGGGGAGGCTGTTCTTCCATAATGTCCGCAATAACTATATTCTTTTCTTCCGATACGTAATATATCCATTTCAAAATAAATAAGCCTATTACTAGTTAGTATGATATACTCCCTCCATCTACTTTTGATAGTCATATTTTATCTTGGTAAATAGACCAAGGATAAGTAATTCTACTTATCATCCATTTAAATATGCTACTAGTTATTCCTCGTAAATAAGCGATTCATTAATGTTTACATTTCTCAATACCCATATAGCCAATCTTGTGTGGAAGAATGGAGAGTCATGCATTAAATCCAAAAAAATCATTAAGATGATAGGTTGTTGAATTGAAATATGCCTATCAAAAATAAATTTTTTAGATTTGGAAATATGACTATCAAAAATAGATGGAGGGAGTATTATAGTACTAAAATTTTTAATAGATTCGTAGTATTAGGATATCATATGTTTGATTGTTTTGAGACGGATGGAGTACATAGTAATACTAATAGCAGCGTTGCCTGAATTAAACTCGTGGTATTCTCCACTATGGCCACTTGATCGACGAACTTCACGCTGTATCATAAACAAGACCATGGAAGTGGCAAATGAGCAATCTGTTCAGTGGATGATGCAAAGGGATATAGAATGTGGAATCTGAATCCCACTCAACGCAAAAAGGCAGCATTTTTCATGTCAAAGTGTGTACTTTTGAGACTTTGTGTGAGCAAAAATGTTTGACCTCATCATTGTCCATGGAACCAATTCTGTCCAGACATACATTATCATTGACCAATTGGTACATTGTCGATTTCACTCCCCCAAATAAGAACAATGACACTGTTTAGTTTGGGGAGTACAAGAGTGCTAAACAAGTTTTGAAGTTGAAGAAAAGTAATCTGACACGCAGAAATAGATATGATGCTACGAACAAACTTACATATAGGTCTTGTTTGGATTCTTCCCGGTATTAAATATCCCTCTAGAATCTTGCTATTTATAAGTATTAAACGTAGATTACTGACAAAACCTATTCCATAACCTCTAGGCTATTTTACGAGACGAATCTAATGAGGTATATTAATTCATGATTAGCGAATGATTACTGTAGCATCACTGTAGCAAATCATGGATTAATATACCTCGTTAGATTCATCTCGCAAAATAGCCAAGGGGTTATGGAATGGGTTTTGTCAGTAATCTACGTTTAATACTCATAAATAACAAAATTTCGGAGGGCTATTAAATAGCCCTCCGGATCCAAACAGGCCCATAGAATGTTAATGTCTCGCATGAAACACAAATATTACTACATGAATTCCATAAGAAACATTTCAATCCCCCTCTCCTTCTTCTTTTGTTTTTGTTTTGGGTTGTGTTATTTACCTTCGCTGCAAAGGAAGACCTATACTTTGATGTAAATATTACCAAGCCAGCTGAAGAAAAATCACCCGATACAGAAAAATAGATACGATGCCATGAACAAACTAAGATAAAAACATCAATGACTCATTTGGAACATAGAAATTTTACAGGAATTTCAAAAGAACCATTTCAATCCCCTCTGTTTTTCTTTTGTGTGTGAAGTTACCTTCACTGCAAAGGAGACCTGTATTCTGATATAAATATTTTTTTGAACGACATATTCTGATCTAAATAGAGATAGTAGTACTTCTATGCTTATCTCTTAAAAAAAAGGTTCTATAATAATTTTTACAGTAGTACAAGTATTAAGGTGTTTAGATCTCCTGGTAAGTTTTTTCACCTTATCACATCGAATGTTTCATATATGTATGAAATATTAAATATAAAAAACTAATTACACAGATTGTGTGTAAATTGTGAGATGAATCTTTTAATTCTAATTGCTCAATGATTTGACAATGTGGTGTTTCAGTAAACATTTGTTAATGAAGGATTAATTAAGTTTAATAAATTTGTCTCGCAATTTAATAAACATTTGACAATGTAATTTGTTTTATTATTAGACTACGTTTAATACTTTAAATATATGCCCATATATCCGATGTGACACGCCAAAAATTTTTGCCCTTAATCTAAACATAGTCTTAGGGTGTATTTGAGGAGAAGGGGATTGAGGAGATTGGGAAGATACGCAAAACGAGGTGAGCTATTAGCACATGATTAATTGAGTATTAATTATTTTAAACTTCAAAAATGGATTAATATGATTTTTTAAAGCAACTTTCCTATAGAAATTTTTTTGCAAAAAACACACTGTTTAATAGTTCGGGAAGCGTGCGCGCGGAAAGCGAAACAATCTTTCTCGCTTTCTCCTGCGCTCGAACACAGCCTTAGAGCAGGTACAATAGCAGGCTATAAGCCAGCTGCAAACATATTTTAAGGAGATAAATGAGGAGAGAGAATGGCAGCGGGCTAAGGTACAATAGCAGGCTATAAGCCAGCTGCAAACATATTTTAAGGAGATAAATGAGGAGAGAGAATGGCAGCGGGCTACAGATTTGTAGCTAGCTGCAGTACGGACTCTAAGACGCAGTGTGTATATGGCATATGGGACCAGATATTAATAGTGTAGTATGTAACTATTGTATGAGTAAACTATTAGATTGGTTATAGATGAATTGAAGCTAGTAGTTGGCTATTCTATTAAACTTTCTCTTAGTCCACTCCACTTGGTTGGAGCAAAGAAATTTGATTCCCTTCGAAAATGAGATTTAAAAAACTTAGAGAGAGAGAGAGAGCGTGGGTGGGGTGGGTGCTCTGGGTGACTGGGTCTGGGTGTTGCGGGCGCACCAACCGGCCGGATCTCCCCACCACATCATCTGCTTCTGTGCGGCCGCTTCTATCGGCCCTGCCCCCCTTCGCCTTCCTCGCCTCGCCTCGCCTCCCCACTTCGCTTCACTGCTTCCCTACTACACACTCGCCGCCATTCCCCCCGCCCCAAATATTCTCTCGCATTCGCGTTCCCACCGCCTCGCCCTAGATCTCACCACCTCGCGTCGCGCCTCCAATGGGGTGCTTCCTGTCCAAGCCGGCGGGGGCGGGTCCCCTCCCGCCCAACGACGCCGCCGCGCTCCCCGCCGACAACCCCGCAGATCCCGGTAAGCCCCACCGCCGCCATTGCCGCCCTCCTAAACCCTAACCCCCCATCCCCACACCACCACCGCTCTTGCTTCCTAATCTAATCTACTCCTATTGCTTGGTTGTTGTAGAGGCGGCGGCCGCGAATGGCGGCGCTGACTCCGCGGCGGCCGACGGCGGCGGCGACGACAAGGACGCCGCCAAGCGCGCGGTCCCGGTGTTCAGGGAGTTCGGCCTCGCCGAGCTGCGCGCCGCCACCAAGGGCTTCAGCGCCGACCTCATCGTCTCCGAGAGCGGCGAGAAGGCCCCCAACGTCGTCTACCGCGGCCGCCTCGACGGCGGCCGCCTCATCGCCGTCAAGCGCTTCTCCCGCCTCTCCTGGCCCGACCCGCAGCAGTTCCTCGTACCTCTCCTCGCCTCTCTCTCTCTCCGGATCTCGCAATGCCACCCATCCTCCTCACTATTACTGCTTTTCTCTTGTGGTTGCATTGCATTGCAGGCGGAGGCGGCCGGGGTGGGGAAGGTGCGCCACAAGCGCCTCGTCAACCTCATCGGATGCTGCGCCGAGGGCGACGAGAGGCTGCTCGTCGCCGAGTACATGCCCAACGACACCCTTTCCAAGCATCTCTTCCACTGTACTCTACTACCATACCCTCTTCCTCTTCATTTCGCCATTTCCGTATCCATGTCCACTACTAGGAGTAACTACTTGGGTGACGTACTTGGTGATGATCCGTAGATCAAACCACGAATCTCGTCTGCATTAATGGAACACCTCTCACCATTACTACATTTGACTTGTGTGTGCTCTTCATGCCAAATGCTACTAGCACTTGCTACTTATGTGGATGGATGTTGCTTGCCCGGACAACCTGGCTCGCCACATTACTTCCCCCTTTTGTTTTCTTTCTTGTTTGACTCAAGGGCGATCTACCTTTTTTCTGCAGGGGATAAGCAGCCCTTGCCATGGGAAATGCGGTTAAGGGTTGCGTATTACATTGCGCAGGCACTCGATCACTGCAATGCCGAGAACCGAAAAATCTATCATGACTTGAATGCTTATAGAGTACTTTTTGATGAGGTATGTTTGTTGCTGCTAGTACATTCCACTCAAAACACCTTTTGTTTCTGCTGATTTTGCATTGCTTTTCACTTCCTTCCTCCTGTGAACTCGGATGCTTTCTGATCAAAATTTACTACTTTCTGAAGCTTTGCTGATGTCTGTAACTACCGAGAGAATTCTAACTTTGGCATGATTTATTCTATCAGGAAGGTGATCCTCGGCTGTCAAGTTTTGGACTAATGAAGAACAGCCGCGATGGGAAAAGTTATAGCACTAATCTGGCTTACACCCCGCCTGAGTTTCTACGAACTGGTAGGAATTTACACATGATCCTTATTACCGCACTCATGGGCACCTTACTCTATTGATGTTTTCCAGCAAAAATGAAACATGTCAACTTATTTCAAGCTTGCTATATATTTACTCCCAAGTACTAACATTGTTTGACTGCACCGAACAATTTGTGCATGACACTTGTATGACAGGCAGAGTCATCGCCGAGAGTGTGATATATAGCTATGGAACAGTTCTTTTGGATCTTTTGAGTGGGAAGCACATACCTCCTAGCCATGTATGCTTCGTTTAAATCCTTACTTTTCTCAAGAAATATATATATCAGCGCTTCTCCTTATCATTACTCTCATATCCTGGATAACACTGCATCTGTATTTAATGTCACATTGACAACTGATAAAAAGTGTTATGGACTGCAATCGGATTTGAACCTTAACCTTTAACCTACTGATGTCCACTAAATTTGTATAACAGACAGTGGCCTCTTGTCTCAAATAACAGACCATAGACTTCTAGTAGAATATGTGACAATGAACTTATTCCTAGGATGCCGTGCATCTGATAGAGCATGACTGCGGAATAGTGAATTTATGCCAAGGATATTTTATTGTCAACTATCAATGTTTATGTCAGTAGGTTTCTCACTTGATTTGTATGGAATTCCAGGCACTTGATTTGATAAGAGGGAAGAATATACTGTTGCTCATGGATTCCTCCTTAGAAGGGCAGTATGCTAATGAAGATGCTTCAAAACTAGTTGACCTTGCGTCGAAATGCTTGCAATTTGAAGCGAGGGACAGACCCAATATAAAGTATCTCTTGTCTTCTGTTGGGCCTCTTCAGAAGCAAAAGGAGGTAAATAACTTGACAGCCTTTTGTCGGCTGCTAATGTTTTTCATTGCATTTGGTAACACCATTTATTTCTTATATCAATCATTCTAGGTAGCATCACATGTGTTGATGGGTATTACAAAAGCCACGGCGGTGTTGCCAACTATTCTTTCTCCCCTTGGGAAGGCCTGTTCCGGTATGGACCTTACAGCAGTACATGATATATTGCTCAAAACAGGTTACAAAGATGAAGAAGGTGCAGAAAATGAGGTAACTATCTTGCTGTAAAGTTGTTGCATTTGTTTTCCTAGTCTATGATGCATCTGAGCTATATCACACACTGAATTTACTCATTCTTGAAATGCCCTAGAAAACATGGATTGTGCATCATGATCTATTTTCTTGCTATGAAGAGAGATTACTTGCATTCACCAACCACCACATTCATGCTTGTTTATAATTTCAAAAGCTAACCTCATTTTATGTACCTTAGCTCTTCTCTTGCTGTCCCCACTTGCTGAAATATTTCAGAAATTATGGAGTCACATTCATTTGGTTTGTTAAGATAAGCTAGTTTTATTTTGTGCATGTTTATGGTGATGTAAAAACTGAAGCTGTCCTTTCAAGAATGGACTCAGCAAGTGCAAGAGATGCTGAATACCAAGAAGTTTGGTGACATTGCATTTAGAGACAAGGATTTCAAGACTGCAATTGACTACTACTCCAAGGTATCATTGTTTTCTCTTACCTAGGCTATGCTACCGTACCTTTGCAATGTTGACATTTTGCTTCACGATTGTTTGTTTGACACAAGTTGTTTTGGAGCTTTATAATAGGAAAGGACCCTAACTGGTCAAAAAGTTCAACTTTCTGAAACAGTTTGGCCCTCAGCCCGTTAGCTCGAGTGCTACTAGCCACTAGTAGCCTTATGTGGTCCTTATGTGACTTATATATAGTGAGCGTTATGAATATCTTCTGCCCTATGGTATGACAAGCTCATTTGCCATGATGCAGCTTGTTGGAATGATGTCAGTGCCTTCAGCCACAGTTTTTGCCCGGAGAAGTTTCTCCTATTTGATGAATGGGCAGTCAGAGCTTGCTCTCCGGGACGCAATGCAGGCCCAGGTCTGCATGCCCGAGTGGCCAACTGCCTTCTACCTACAAGCCCTTGCTCTCTCAAAGCTCGGCATGGAAACTGACGCACAAGATATGCTAAACGATGGAGCCACTTTTGAGGCCAAGAAGCAAAATAGCTGGCGAGGTTAGGGGAACAAGTCATGGTTTCACCCCCAAATCTGTTGTTGCCTTTTTAACAGAAAAAGGTAAGATGATGATGAGTGTTCATTGGGACGACTGTTGCACTACTAGGAGTGGGATTGAAAATGCACTGTTTTATTGTGCAATCTCCGCCCAAATGTCGATAAATGAGTGGCGTTGTTGTGACCTGGAAGGCAAAAGGCAGAGAGGCATTGCTTATACTACGCTTTTGAGTCTGAGTTGCACTTTGTTTCTCGGGTGATGTGAGCAAACACCTGCTGATCATTGCGTTGCAGTGCTCCTCTAGAGACGAGAGAATTGATGAGATGAGAAGATTGTAATTAAGGGGATGCTTTTCTGACAATTTCACCTTTTTTTTTCGTTTTCCATTGGAATCTTTGGGCCCCAGGTGAGATGATAGTGTGAAGAAAGGCGGGTTCCTTGTGATTAGCCTAGGATGGAGAATAAACTAGAGCCATCTAAATTCCATTCATTTCTACCATGTTCTTGATGTGTTACTTGCTGCTTTAACCTTTTGAAGGTATGGTTCAGTTTTGTAGTGATGTGCATTGCATCATGTGGAACCTGATGGTTTTCAAATTTTTTTTTCTCGTTTGGCAATTACACATCGCCTATATGCTTGAACCATCTGATGAGACCTCCAGTCCTCAATTTCGGTTTGCATTGGCATCTATTCAGCCATTGTATTTTGCTGCTTACCAAAGTTTTTCCATGATTAATGTAAAATAGTGAAATGTAACGAATGGAAACATGGAAGATTTTAAGCGCCTGAAGCATTTCAAAAGAAAAGTTTTAAACTCATAGGGAACAGGGCTAAAAGGACATTTTGTTTCTTTTTTAAAAAAAGAAATGAAAAGCTAAAGCCCTCATGGAAAAACTACATTTTGTCCTAACATGCGGAGGAAAAGAACAAAAAAATGAGTCAGAAAAATGAAAGTGCGTGAGCGCGATGTGTGGGGTCCGGTGAACACGAAGAGCATCCTAGCTTGGCTGCAATGACTGGACGCTTTGAATTCGGGACTTGTAACAGCAGAAAGTGCCGAGATAACGATAAAAGTGCGTAGAAAAAGAGGGAACTTGCTCTGGACTCATTGATTTGTTTGCTACCTCTGCCTTGTCATTTGGCTATGTGTATAAAGCTGTGATGTTTGAGCCATCTCCTTCGTCCTTTCACAGCTCCACGTATGTACTTAGGCTGTGATTAGTTTCTGAAATTGGAGAGAAATTTAAGGAAAGTTGTTAGTTTAAAAAAAAAGTTGGGTTTCTAAAATTGGAGAGAAGTTTAGGGAAAGTTGGTAGTTTGAAAAAAAAGTTCAGAGTTTATGTGAGTAGAAAAATTTTGGATGTGATGTGATGTGATGGAAAGTTAGGAGTTTGGGGAAAGTTTGGTGTGAACTAAACATGACCTTAGTCATGAGGCACATCACGTACTGTTCTCCCTCCGTCCCGAAAAAATCAACTTTCAAATACATAGCAAGAAGTTATTTTTTCTAACAGAGAAAGTATGTTTTTAGTTAAAGTATAAAAACACTAAAACATCAGTGTTTTATTTTCAAGTATTTAGATTGAATGCAGGACAATCGTTTCTACTGTAATTTTCGTATTTTAGATCTTTTTGAAAACTTATTTTATAAATAGACTAAAAACTTATTTTAAAAATGACCATTTTCGTGATATTATCACCATTGGTGCCATAATTCAACTCGTCATTGGTGCCGTATTTCAGCACGACGATATCTAAGTAGGCTTTGTTCGTTTAATCCCTAAGAGGGGGAATAATGGGGATTAAGGGGGAATAATTCCACACCATAATAGGTGTGGAATAAATCCCCTCCAAATCCCTCCTCTTGTGGGAGGGATTAACCGAACAAGACCTCAGCTATGTAAAGGGTCCAATGCTATTGGCGCCGAGGTGCTATGTGTAAATATTTTTTTATTACTACTAGGGTCATTTTCAGAATTTTTATTTACAAATTGGTATCTTTTTCACATCAATAACTTAGTTTCGAGCGCGGGACATGGTCAATGTCGTTGACACCATCATATTGGACCACGATACCGATGATGTCGGCAACGCAAAAAGGGTTCATTTCTAGAATAAGTTTTATCCAGAGGTTTATTTATGAAATAAGTTTTCAAAAAGAACCAAAAAGTTAAAAAAAAACAGATCGTTTCTACACTGTCCATCCAAGCTGTTTATAGCTAGAAATTGATTCTTAGGGTGTGTTTAGTTCACGCTAAAATTGAAAGTTTGGTTGAAATTGGAACGATGTGACGGAAAAGTTGAAAGTTTGTGTGTGTAGGAAAGTTTTGATGTGATGGAAAAGTTTAAAGTTTAAAGAAAAAGTTTAAAACTAAACAAGGGCTTATTAGAACAGAGGGGCATATATGTTTGCTGAAAAAGTAATTTTATAATATCATAATCTTTGGATTGGGGCTCATAAATATTTCACAGTAGAAATTAGTGATCAGATACATCTTTGAAAACCATGTCGATGTGCAAAACATGTTTTTTTCTTGTGAGAAGAGAAGTATACGCACGAAATCAAGAGAGGGAGAGAGCGCGCGGCACAACACACCTCTCCCGTTCAATACTACAACAAGAATGATAAGAAAATTAATCACTGCATTGGTGATGTAAAAGGCTTTAAAGCTTATTGGTTCCATACAGATAACAAAATGAACCTGTCTCTATGTTGCATGTTTGCCTGCCCAAAAAAAGATCTGTTGTTAAAAACAAAAGGGTATTTAATTTTCAAGACAAACTATAGTGATGTTTTTATCTTTTTTAGATAATAAATATGATGTTTCTCTCGTTTGATCAAACATAATAAGATTTGTTACATACACACACTAACAATATGTGATGACTGATGAGTGATCATGCTGATTCGCATCCAAACAAAAATGAAGAGCCAATCAAAGAATACGATTGATGCAGGACTGTTCTGCCGAAAGTGCAGCACACCAGAAAGTGACATGAATTCTAATATTCTCAAAACCCAAAACCTTTTTCTTCTCCATGCATATATATTGGCTGCTAATCTCCAGTTAGTCTGTTTCAGAGAATATATAGACATGCTCTTTTCAGCAGCCAAATGCGCCGACCATGCATTGCGATCATAGACTTATTGCTCCAACACTATACGACTTGCTGGCTCGCAATGCCATTATAAAATTTGGTAAAATTTTGGCACTTGCATTGCGAGGACCTGTTCGACCGTGTAAAATGTATAGTAGTATAGTACAGCACTTGAAGACCATATAGTACTAGTCACTAGTCAAACCTTATTACCAGGCGTTCCAGGAATTCGATTGAGAATACCATGAACTTTTTTGCGGACTTATTTTCTAAAGTCAAAAGGCAGGAACTTTGCAGAGATTTTTTTTTGTCATAATTAAGTTTTCAAGAGAGACGACATCACCAGAATTCAGCAAGGCCTAATAAGTACGTAGTTGATGTCATAAAAGCTTGATTATAAGAGAAAAAAATTCTCTTTAATAAACTTTATGTCTCGTGCAGAATACAATACGATTTCATCTTTCGTTTCATCAGAAAAAATCTGGGATGGAAGGATTCGAACCTCCTAGTAATGGGACCAAAACCCGCTGCCTTACCACTTGGCCACGCCCCATTTCGGGTTTTATGCGACACTAATAAATAATATTATGTTTATTTCTTATTCGTCAATCCTACTTCAATAACATAAAAATGGGGGTATTCTCTTGGTAGGATTCTAGACATGCGAATAATTTTGCAGTGGATTGAAATTAGTGTCCGAGAAATATTTATAACATATATATTTTGCCGTGACAGCTGAAGAAGGATTGGCCGACCAATGTTTACAACGTCTGTATATACCAAATCTGAATACCGTAAAATGTTTCTATTTGGAAACGGGAGAGTAGCACGACAGTCAGGCCCTGTCACAACGAATATTTGAACACCTATATAAAGTACTCCCTCCTTCCCTAAATGTTTGATACCGTTGACTTTTTTAAACATGTTTGACCGTTCGTTTTATTCAAAAACTTTTGTGATATGTGTAAAACTATATGTATACATAAAAGTATATTTAACAATAAATCAAATAATAGAAAAAGAATTAACAATTACTTAAATTTTTTAAATAAGACGAACGGTCAAACATTTTTAAAAAAGTCAACGGCGTCAAACATTTTGGAATGGAGGTAGTATTAAATATATGCTAAAAAAATAACTAATTTGCGAGATGAATCTTTTAAGCCTAATTACTTCATGATTTGATAATATGGTGCTACAGTAAATATTTGCTAATGCCAGATTAATTAGGCTTACTAAATTCGTCTCGTTGTTTACTGATGGATTCTGTAATTAGTTTTTTTATTAGTGTCTAAACATCACATATGATACCTTATATAATACTCGATGTGACACGTTAAAACTTTACACCTCTAATCTAATCTAGATATAAGCACCCTCTCTGTCGTCCACTCCAGATTCCATTTCGGAATGGTGAGTGGTGTGTCGTCGTCGTCGTCGTCGTCGCGCAACTTCAATTCTTGGAATGTGAAATCATGCTTTAGGTTAATTAGGAGCGTTCACGTCCATGTCCATCAATCCCTCTCAATTCGACCGCTACCTTGCTAGCTCGTCGGGTTTCCGCGTCTCTGTCGTCGTCGCCTCTTCCGGCCACCCAAGGATCGCCGTCGCCGCCGTCGCCATCCCCTGATCCCTGGCTCCTCCATTGCTGTACAGCATATTGCAACGATCTTTTGCGTATATATGCTTGGTCGCTTAGTACATTTAACCTGTTGTTCAGTTACTTAGTTGGTAAGCGAGATGAGCTGACCGAGAGAGGGCATGGCAATAACCTGCAGAAATATACTGCCGATGCGTGAACAAGAACGAGGAGTTAATTAGGGTGTCCCGATCGTTATATCACTATTCACCCCCTTGACTAATTGTAACCACTTACCACTTGAACTGCGTGTGTATGTCACTGTTTGACGGTATCTATCTATTTATCTCTTGCCGACCATCCCCAAACAATCCAAAAATGGTTGCATCCATAATAGGGACACATTCATGTGCGAGGAACACGCCTCCCCCTGACATGCATCTAGCTGCCTCACTTAATTATGTAATCAAATGCATATCTCACGTGTACAACCTAGCAGATCAATCGATCTTAATTCTTCTTCGTAGGTTCCATTTCGACGGAGGAGAATTAATTGAGCACACATTTTGTATGATATAGATCTTCATCAGAATGAATCGAACTGAATTTTTCAGGTTAATAATAATAATAATGAGGAATTTTACAGTATAGTAATTTACTTGTAGTATTGCCAGTATAAACAAGAACATTTTAGAAATTTTCCACAAAATTAAGAATATTTTTTATTTTAGTCATTTCATGCTTAAGTCCCCAACCTTCCTATAGAGTTATTCCATTGCGGTCCCAAGTGAGCCGAACCTCCGATCCCTTTGGCGTTTGAGTCATTCCCTCCCATTTGACCCATCCCTCTGTTCGTGTCGTACGCAAGGGCAAACCTACCTATTTGGTAAGGTAGGTGGGTC